ACTGGAAGTGCAAGTGGCTGTATAAAGGAGATGAGAATGCTTTATTTAAAGCATTTGTTGATTATTCTTATTTCATTACAAGACAATATTTTCCCCTTTTTCTGTCAACCATGCATTCTTTTGCTAATTAGAAAACAAAGACAGTGTACCATGAACTTACATACAGTACATCTAAAAAAATGCTCTGGCAATAGGAGTTATTTTCTTTTTCTTTCTATTCCTTTCATTCTGTATTTCGATTCTAGTAATTCCAAAACTTTTCATAGTTGAAGAAACAAGGTTTGAAAAGTCTACATAAACATCACAGGTTTAATATTTTTGTATCAACTCAATAAATGAGATATTTGAGTGAGAAAGTAATGCTGACAAATATGTGAACTACTTCAAATAGCCACTTTCCTATTGTCACATAAAGGAACATTCCTGCAGCAGAATGTATCTAGGATTGCAATACAGCCAGGAATTCTAGACCAGACCTCCAAAACAAGTTTCTAAATCTAATATGCTGAATTTCCTAATTCTCTCAAAAAAGAAAAACAAAACTGCAAGCTTTAAGAGTAGGACTGCTTTTGCTTCAGAAATATGGCTTGTGAGACAGAACAATTTCATCTGATACTTACTGTAAAGAAAGATCTGAAGACACTTCTAGAAGAAATCTAAGGTGTGAATCAAATATTACTTTTTCATTGTAGAAGATAAAAAATTATAGCCCATATACTAAAGATTCAATTCTTGAATTGTACATTTTGGGTTGTTTTAAGGAAAAATGTACCCCTCTTAGATGAATGAAATGTTTCTCACGGTCAGAAAACAAGGCACGTAAAAAGAGTAAGAGCTACTTTAAGGTCCTACAGTGGAGACAGCCTTTCTAACCAACAGATAAACTCAGTACCACTGAAAGATGAGGAAAAAACTGTGTGCTCTTTGACAATGAATGGTATACAGAACTTTTTGACAATTTAAAAGACTTTCATGGACTGAAAATAAAGATTGTAATGAGATCACCTTCAGACATTTGCTGACATTTTTACTGCATACATACATCTGAGTACAGACCTATTTTGTGATATGAAACAGAACAAGAACATCTGAAGAGCTGTCTTTTTAATTTCACGGCCCAATTATACTCGGGACAAGAAGTTATATGGGTTAGAGAAAGGTAATTATTCTGACTGGTCAAGTAAAAATGAGAAAGAAAATCATCCAGAGAGTTACAGTTTCAGCTGCAGGTGTTGATTGTGCCAAGTTGATATTACCAAGGCAGCCACAATTTGGTCACCTTCAATCTTTAAGATTTACAGTTTAAAGAGATCTTGAGGGATGCATATAACAAGGCACGAAGCTATGTTAGAGAGGTATCTCCCTGAAAGCCCAGGCTGCCCTCTTCTGGAGTTTATTATCTTGCACATCTAGTGGTCTTGGTTCATGGTCAAGTTACATGAGGAATATCTCACAAACGAAACAATCACCTGACTATAAGGTATTTAATTTTTCATTTGTGTTATCTAACAGAACACCTACTAAACATGTATTCAAATGATCAAGAAAATTACATCTTGGCAGGACAGAGTTACACACAGTAATGACTTCCCTGTGTAATGGAGTAGTCTCACGTTCAGTACAGTAACTTTCTATATTAGTATATATAATAGCTGACATTACTGATATGCACTCCAACTTGAGGTGAAATGCAATGCTATAAAAGCATAACCATTCATTCTGAATTCAAGAATGCTTCTATGAAGTCAATGTTCTTGCTGCAGATAAAGCTGTGAAAACAGGTCACGCTGAAGCTGTATTCACATAGTCTGCCTTACACATACTGGAGTGAAAACAGAGTTTTCATCAACTTGTTGCAGGTTCTTCCACAGCTAAAGTTCAAAATATATAACACAACCTTTATCCTTACATCAGGCAACCTGATATTAAGGTATCTCCTGCCATCCGTGCATGCAACATATGTAGTTTTGTTTACTCTACAAGGTCATCTGATGCCAAAGCTAAAGCACATACTTATCATTATATGACGCCTGTTCTCCAGTTAATTAATTAGAAAATGTTGTCGTGTGCTGTCATTCAGATAATATAGTGCTGTGGTAGAGTTCAGTGATCTTCTACTCGATAGAAATATACTTCTCAAAAATCGGGATCCCTGTTTCAAATCAGGGGATTTAGGGAATTAGCAAACACCAAGAATAAAACTGCAATCACCAAACATAAAAAGGAATTTTCTCTAAGTTATCAGAAGTTACAAGAGCTTGACTGATTCTTTTGGTAGCAGATTATTGAGGTAGAGGTAAAATGATAAAGATTTTAGAAACAGAATAATTAATTTGTTGTATTCATCTCTCATTTTTATCTGAAGGATAATGAATCATTGCAAGTTTTCTGAAGAAAACATAAAAAGCACTGAAATTGAGTAGGGAAATACTAATGCCTTATTTAGATGTCAGTTCTTGATTTAGAAATCCTGTAAAAAGTATTGTGATTGTTTCAAGGAAGGGAACAGAAAACCACTAGCTGCAGTCACTATGAAAATAAGTTCCTTCTGTATATCATTTCTTTCTGGTCAGGCAGAAGACCCTTGACATCAATACGCATGATAAAATAATTCACCGTTTTTTGCTGATGATGTTTTTTTTAAGAAAATAAAATGCGAGACACAGGAATATAATAAAGGAGGAAACAGTCAAATGTGCACAAATTCTCAATTATTATTAAAAGAAACAGTCTTTTAAGGTGCAGATGGTCCACAAATTTTCAGAACAAATTGGTAATTCAGAAGATTATAATCAAGAAATATGATGAACTGTAATTGTTGTCAGTGTAGATCTGGAAAGGGAACAAGGAACCTTTCAGAGAAACAACAGCTAGCTAAAGCAGGAAAAAGCTGTAGCAAAACACAGAACCCTACTTTTACTGCTCCTTGCTGACTATTATTATTCAAAGTTCAGCTTTTAACAACCTAGGTAAGAGACAAGCATCAGTGAATTTTCCATTAGACACAATTTTGATCTGTTCTTTCCAGATTTTGTTATTCTCTTTTCACATTAGTACTTCTTGTCTCTTGTAGAATTAAAGTGCATCATCTATCAGGAAGTAGTCGAAAAGAATTAAATTAGTAAAATAAAGTGGTTTTTTTCATTCAGGCTAAGATTGTGTCTAAGCTGTTATCCTATATTACTAAAATAATTCTACGATACCAGCTGAGAATGGAGGGTGGAATTTAAATTTATTATAATTATTTCATTTACTGATTGTAAATTAATGATTTACTGATGGTAAAACATACTCTTGAAAAACTTGTAGAAGATGATCTGAACTTCAGTCATTTTGCCTTTGTTATTTTTCCTTAGCTTTCTCAGCAGAGATAAGAGAAAATTCAGCTTTCACTCAATCCATAAAGCAAATCATCCACAAATTAGAAACATTTAGTAGTAATAAGCATGAGATTATAGTTCCAATTTCACACAGTTAAATGCAAAAATTAGAAGTTACTGAGTGTAGTCTGTTGTAAATTTAACCAAAGAAGATAAAAGTAAAGCGAATCCAGATACTATTAAGAACTTAACAAGAACTGTGCAACAGCAGAAATCTGGAGAAGTTAAAATCTAATGCCAATGAATGTTCTTTCTATTTTCTTATTTTTGCTTTTAAACATCAAGAAGTATTTAGCATCATTTGACTACCCAGAATAAAACTGTGATCACTGAAGAGAATTTACAGTAGATAAAACCCAATAAAAATAAAAAACACACAAAGCCCTAAAGAATCAAATTACCCCAGATAAATAAAAGATACCATTCAAATTAATTATTTCCAGTTAAGTTTGAAAAGATTTGCTATATCCATGAATATAAACATATTCTTCTAGTTTCAAAGATAATGGCACATTATCTTTGATTATAATATATTATAGTCCACAAAACCAATATGAATAATTCCTGATCATTTAAACTCTTTCTTTATCAAAGCAGATAGAATTTCTCACTCTTATTTCACAACAGTTCTCTAACGATATAGTTTTCCTTTGATCTAGCTATGAAATTAATTATTTTTTAAATCATTGAAAAGTAACAATTTGAGAAGTTTCAAACCCTACCAACAAGCAACATAGAGGATTCATCTAATTTCAAGATCAATGCTACAGAAGCCAATTGATATGTTTGCATTGAATTTCAACACTTGCATTATTTTTTATTTTGCAGTAACCTACTTCTATTTATATCTTAAATACCGTATCTCTTTAAAATTCCATCTGCAGATCTCATAAACTAGCTATTAAAGATATCTGTTTCAATGCATCAGCTTTCCCAAATACCATACTCTTCTGCTACAAGTTTAGCCTAAATAATCGACTTGCATGTGAAATTTGAAGGGACAAAGCTAAATGCTTGGGTTACCAACAATTTCCCACTCCTGAAGTTTTGATCTGTGAAAAAGAAAATACTTACATCTTTTTTAAAGCATTTTCATGATGTGAATCTCTATTTACAGATAAAACCTTCACCATTATGATGACACTATCACTCTGTTCAACTCTTATCATCTGAGTAAATACACTGAAGTTTTGCTTTACTAAATCCCATTCGCACTGCAGAAACAATCTCAGGTTTCCTAGAAATGTCCCCTTCCTCATCTTTACTGGTGATTGCATAATGAATTCTAATTACATTTTTTCAACTTAAAATTCTTATTAAATTATACGGACCACAAAATGATGAAAATAGATAGCTACAATACCTAAATTCTAGGCAAGTATGTAAAAAAAAGGTTTGATTTATTTAAAATATAATGAGGGGGAACATGTTTTAATAATATTGGTCATGAAATATCAGAGCCCTTTGTGAAGCAGCAGGAAAAAATCAGGCATAATTTTGTGTATTTATGGTAAGTGTATTTCAGTGTCAGAGAAAACAGCAATTCCAGCTTAAACCCAAAGACCTATGGCTTTATAAAGCTTTGTTGACAGGCAAAGTAAAGTGTTTTTTTCTCTATACCTGGAAGTTCTTTCTCTTCGAGACTGTATTCCAGAGGTCCAAAGGAATAATTAGCTGGACTGATTGCAGGAGTAGAAATAAAACTTGCACAGCCAATGGATGAGTTGATTTCAAAATAATCGTGGCTGTGATTCATTCGGTGAAATTCCAGAGAAGATACTATGGATGTACGTTGCTTGGGCTACAAGAGAAACAAAAGTTTGGCATGAAAAAATAGAAACTTTTTGTATCATTTTCATTACTTAACATTTCACAAATCTAGATAGGGTTTCACTCTTTTTACCGTTTTTATTTGGCTCAAAGGTTATACTAGTAAAAATCATTCCATGTGACAAGCTGTGTAGAGATAATTTCCTTCCAAAATTTCAATTAATCTTCATTAGCAAAAATGCATGTCTTCATTCTAATCAATTTAATTCAACATAAAGTAGGCTTTTACGTTCTTGCATATAATAATTGCAATCATCTTTTGATAAGAAAGGGAACTCTTCACCAGCTGCATTGCTGGGTACATCTTGCAAAACAATTAGCCTGCTGATGCCTGTATAATGAAATTTACTAAATAATACCAAGCACTCATCAGTCAAAAGCAACCCTCTGCTGTTTATTCCATTTATGAATACGCCTTAAATATTCAAAGACTGAAATGTCTAAAAGCTTAGGGGAACAGTGTCAGCCTCAAAAACAAGCATGAAAATCAAACTTTCTTCATGAGTTTTCATGGAACAGTGTGAAAACTTGGTACTACCTTATATCAAACATTTACTTTTGAAGTGAACTTCTGAACAAACCCCGCTTAACGGTTTGGCTTTGGATTGCAGAGTAGCTTCAGAGCACGAGAAACTCACTTCTTTCACGTGGATCTACACCATAAGTTGTAGAAATTAAATCTATATAGTGTGATCATCAGGTCAGCAACAACTTTTTCACTACACAGTCCTGTTCCTGTTACGCTGCACTACTTATTACTACAGACATAACCTTAGTGCTCGATATCATGGGTTATAAGCCACAGACCACTGCTGTTTTGCAATGTCACGCTAAATAGTCTGTTGCACCACTCATCTAGCTTCAGATTCAAAATACCTTGACCCCACGATGCTCCTTGCCACTTCAGGACTAATGACCTGAAACATAAAACATCTCCAAAAGAGAGAAAGCCCTGCATCCAGGTTTATTGCTGTCTATGTACTTATTTCACAACAGTGAAAAACTTTTCAGGAACTTCTGCCTTAAATAACTAAAGCTGGAAAAAGTAAGTAGCAAAAAAGAGAGTAAAAGGTGCTTTATCTCTTCTTATTCTAGCACGTCAAGCTTAACAAGTCAGAATATTTGTAAAGGTCAAGAATTTTATACTTATTACTGCCAAGACCAAATTATTGCCTTTGAGAGCAATAAGATCTTTCTTGGACCATGAAGCTATTCACCGTCTCTTACTTAGAACTAGCTGTTAAAATATAGTCTATCCCAGTGGATTAATTTTCAAATTTTTTTGTGGTCTATTTAATATTTAGGTTACAAGTCTTGCAATGTTTGTGTTACAAATACCAAACCAGACTGTTTTCAGTAAAAATTCACTCTTTCTATAGGAATGTCAGAAAAAAAAATCAGATAGACTTAGGTCTATATAATGGATTATTTCTTAAAGTTGTGGAGGGCATCATGTGAATTAACTGTGTCCTGTTGGGCATTCATCTGGAACTCATCTATGGTCTATCAAGGGGATTTACTTACTTTAATAATTAAAACCAGTTTCTGCTTTAAAAGGTAGACTCCTAAGTTTAGTAATTTCATGAGAGAGTTCAGTGAACAGGGACAGACTTCAATATCAAACAGTCTGGTTGAAAGTCATTGTTTGGGACCTGAGCCAAAACCACTCTGATCAAACCAAAAACATTCACGTGTATTTAAACCTAAACGGCACACTTTTGCTAGACAACAGATTCATGAATGACCTAATTATTTCTAAAACTGAAAAAGATATCCAGTCATTTAGAAGCATGTTTCTGGCCCTTTCCCAAGCAATGGTGTCTTTGCAGATTGGCAGGACTTAACTCCTGAGATGAAAAGGGACCACTTCAATTAACATGATGTGTGATATTCCTCATTATGCTTTAGCTGAGACAGTTTCTACCTAAATGGGCAGCTAGAATGGTCCAGCTCTGTTTTCCAAAGCAGTTTCAAAAGCAACTGCTCTGGCCTTTATCTAGTAAGGTCTCCAGCCACTGCTTTGACTGTGTGCCCCTTTCTTGAAGCTAGAATAGAAGCATCTGATACCCAATTTGGCCTTTTCCTATTAAGGCTGATAGTTGTTTGACTACACCTAAGTGTAGTATTACAAGCTACTCTAATATCTTTTAAAAGTTCCACAAAAAAAATCTGTGAGGTCTTGATGGATGGAGGGAGAAGGGGAAGTAGGTAAACAAAACACCAAAAAACCACCAAGTTGTTCTGAAGTTTCTTTTACAGATCAGTTTAGTTTACAAATGCTCACAGGTTGTAAAAGTGTGTCTCTCAACAAAAAACTATTATTTGCTCTGGGGACAAGGGCTAGTAATAAAAAATAATTCTAGACTGATTTTCAAAGACAATCATGGAAGCTAGAAATATATTTTATGTTTGTTGTGCTAAAATGCAACCATCTGCTGACTTGGGTGATACAAAATAGTTTCTATATAATTTCTTGGGCATTATTATTATTAATTCAGAGAAACATATTTCAGTTGCATACGTCTTTCCAATCTAAGGATTCTGAACAGAATCTCACTCAGCCTCTGCTACTCTACAGCATTACACTTCTGCTATGTTGCTTAGAGTTAACAAGGTCTATCTGTCAATATGTGCCAATAATTCTTCTACATAATTACACCAGAATCTAGCATCTGAACTTTTATAGCTAACTAGAGGAGCCTTTTGAACCTTTGCTTGGTCCTGTAAAATGTTATGCTGTTAAAGTACACTAATTGTTCACAAATATATGCTAAGAGACTCAGTAAACCAGTATGCGTTGATTGCATCCCTCTCCTGCTATCTCTCTGAAGTACCATTTGCACAAAAAAAAAGTAGTAGAAATGTAGGATTAAATTCCATTCCAGATTTAGATAACTAAATTTACAGCATAGCTATTTACATCTACACTAGTTATTTAAGCTCCTATAAGAGTCAATTGAGATCTAGTCGACAAAATCAATAGAGTCCAGTGAACACTTTGGCTCACTCCAGCCACCTTGGTACTAAATCACTTGCCTTAATGCAGGTATCTACCATCACTGCAGATTCCCTGTGACATCCCACCTGGCATCCAGCTGCCATTCAGAAGAGTGCAGGTCTCCCCTATGTTTGCTCTGTATCATACTAGACAGCCTCCATGTACACTTCAAAGACAACTTTACAGCAACTCAAATGACATTAGATTCCTATTTTTAGGTAACTGAATTCAATCCTGCATTTGTACTAAGCATGATAGGAGATTAGATTTCTAAATCAGAGAGATATTCTTATATATCGAAATGAAAGCACAGGGTTTTTAGTCCCACATTGAATCACACCTCCCTCTAGCTCACATCTAGACATACTCTAGAAACCTTCCTTCTTTAGAATCTCAAGTCAAATTCCAGCCGTACTGGCAGAAGCCTTGGTTTCATGGATTGCATCTGCCAAAGCCACCCTTTAACTACATTTACCAAGAACTCGAGATAGATTCTGAAAAATTCTAAGAAGATTATTTACTGTATGGAATACCATAACTTACTCAGGGGTCCAGATCTCCTAGTGGAGATCTGTACAAACACAAAACTCTGTCCCAAAGAGATGATGTTTAATTCATTCTTTATAGCCAGCTTTGTCAGTCATTACATGCCTTCTTTGTACTATTCAAAAAGTCTGGACATGCTTAGATAACCCTTGTGAAACTGCAGCATACTTACGGCTTAACTTCACCCCAATACATGTGCTACACAGCTGCATGCAAATTCGTCCTTAAGTAGATTTTTATTCATTACAATCATGTGTTTAATTTATTTGTTACATTTAAATCTCTTTAATGACTCACATTTACTTTCAAGACTTTTCTTCACAACTATTATTTCAATTGTCATAATACCAAGCTAGAAAACTCTTGAGTATCCTAAAACAGCATACCAGATCAGGCTAATGAAGAAACCCTATCAATGCAAAAGCAAAAATGTACCAATACAAATCTTTAAAGGTATTGCAAGAACAAGATTTAAATAACCTTCAAATCAGGTCTAATAAGAAGAATATTTTCTTGTTCTGTAGTGAACATATATCAATGAAAGATACCACCCTGAAACTGCAAAAACAGGAAAGGCATCAAAATACACATATTGAATTGTCTGTCTATTAAAAAGACAAGTAAGGATTTAATGCTTCCATGAATGAAATTTGCACATAATGCTACAGTGACTGGCATGTAACACTATGAACATGGAAGGGATCATTCAAATATTTCTTACAACATTTTGCAGAGGGAGTAGGGCAAAATTCCTTTCTCAATTTGATAAAATATTTCTCCAGCTTTTGACTTCACCTTCTTTTATCTTTCGGATTTGCGTACATAGCACTATCACAGCCTTAAAAAAATTAATGTTCACAACACTCTCTACTGTGGCAAAGCTATTTGCCCCATTTTACAGATGCTGAACTAGGGTATAGAGCTTTCCCAGGGGATAAATGTGTGGTTTGTTAAATCACTGAGAATGAACAAGCCTAAGGAAATCTGCATTTGGCAAATGCTACCAAATTCCAGCTGCCCTACATAATGTAAAAACTGGTTTCAGTTGCCTTATACCATGCAGAAAATGTATGATAGAATAGAGAACTGAACACACATTCTCAAATTTTTGCTAGCACATAAAATACAGACTTACCAAAACAAGCAAGTCTCTTCCTCCAGGTTCATCTCACATATATAATACAGTATGAGTGTAGTCACATGGTCACATAAATCTTGCATTTTGGTACCTGCCCAGATGATTCCATTCTTTCCATTCTCTGATCGACTCACTCCTACTTCAGAAATTTTCCATTCACCAGCTTCCTTCCTTCTAAAATCCCATTTTCTTTCTATGTTCTCATTTCCCCTTTCATAGGGTCACAGAATGGGTTGAGTTGGAAGGGGTCTTTAAAGGTCATTAGTCCAATCTGACCTTGAACACTTCC